CCCTGGCCTGTAGATGAGTGTAAACTGCAGAGTCTTGACCTGTAGATGAGTGTAAACTGCAGAGTCCTGACCTTTAGATGAGTGTAAACTGCAGAGTCCTGACCTGATGATGTAGCTCGTCTGTGTTGGCTCATTCTTTTGAACAGTGGCTGTTTTGTTTCTCCAGTGTATGATTGATCACAGTCCTCCTGACACTTAACAGCATACACTATATTACTCTGTCTTTGCCGGGGAACTGGATCTTTGGGGTGAACTAATCTTTGTCGTAACGTGTTTTGGGGTTTGAAAGTCACTGGGACGTCATGTGTCAGTCAGGTGATGGGGCACATGACCCTATATGAACCAGGTGAGGCCACTCCTAGTCTGTATGGTTTACCCAAAATTYACAAACAGGATGTACCGGTAAGACCCATTGTTAGCATGATCAACTCTGTCACTTATAATGTTTCCAAAGCGTCTATACTTGGTCCATTAGTCGGTATTTCAGTTCATCACAAACAGAACACCATGGWCTTTGTGAACAAGGTGAGGGATGTCATCATGGAGACAGATGAAACCTTTTATATCACATCACTTTACATGAGTTCCTGTTGATAAGGCGGTGGAGGTGGTCTGTGTAAGATTAAAATCAGACACCAGTCTTTCCACAGAACAACTTCTGAAACTGCCTGGAATCAACCTATTACACATCAGGTGATGGGACACATGACCCTCTATGAACAATAGAACTAGTCAAGCCTATTGTTAGTCGATGGTCCTCTTTTGCATGTGACCAACCTGTTTGTCCACCATGTGGAGGCGGAGCTTATAAGGCTGAGTTCACCTGAAACTCATCAGACTGAAGAAGTCTCTTGTAGGAGAGAAGAATTGTTTCACCAAGAAGAACCATCCAGAGGACCTACTGATTTTTTCTTCTTGAATTTCTCTACCTGGATTACTGAGATGCATCAGGACATCTGTAGGATCACCTGAAGCAACATCTGGAGGATCATCTGTAGGATCACCTGAAGCAACATCTGGAGGATCATCTGTAGGAACACCTGTAGGAACACCTGTAGAAACATCTGTAGCAACACCTGAAGGATCACCCTGAGGTGTCTCATGTGTCTGGCTGCAGATAAGAGCTTATAATCATTCCTTAAAACTAACAGGCCTTTCTAACCATTAGTCCCTTAAAATGTCCTCCAGAGTCCTGTCCTTTCAGCTGAGACAACCCTGACCTTTGACCCTTGTTATGGACACAGAGCAGACGAGTCTTCTCAGCTATTTATTTTCAGTACTTTAGCATTAAGGGTTATAGTTTATGGACAAGTTCTCTGTTAAGAAATGAATTATCAAAACATAGTTTATAAAAGTGTATAGTAAGCATTACATATATACGCATGGAAACAAAAAGTTAAGGGTTACAGTTGCTCCAAACCATTTTCCTCTGGTCTAAACTACGTTAACAGCAGGCAGGAAGTGTCCAAACAAACCCAGGTGCAGGAAGAGACGGAGGACAGGTGGGAAGGTTTCAGTCTTCTAGATCACACGGACTCCTACGGCACTTCACGGTCACTGCACGGCTTCACGGTTATTTAACTAGCACCGGTGCTCCTGAACACGCTGACGGACACACAGAACATTTAAATAAGAAACGGGGAAAGAAACACCAATAAATACAGGAGGAGGTCCCCCTGAGGGAGGACCGGGTCCCCCTGAAGGAGGACCGGGTCCTTCACCGGAGCTGCAGAGGCCAGGAAGAAGACAGGGATGACGTCACATGGTCAAAAAGGCAGAACAAGATGAGCCGTCCCGTGTTCCGGGTCCTCTGTGGGTCAGTCCTCCACACGGACGGGTGTTTTACATCAACACACATCCTACACACTACTGCGGTCCGGTCCGATACCAGAGTTAAGGTCCAGTCCAGTCCGGTCCGATCCGGTACCAGAGTTAATCAGAATAATATCATCATATAAATAAGTGAGTTACTACATGAGCTGCAGACAACAGTCCTTTCAGCTCCGCTGTCATCAGTCCAGGAGCCGGGTCAGAACCGGGTCAGACACAGGTCCATCAGAACACCACTGAACATTCTCTCTCACACAAACACACACACAGACACACACAGAGACACACACACACACAGAGAGACACACACACACACACACACACACACGGACTCAGCTGGGCTCAGTCGACAAGCCTGAATCAGTTCAAAAGCTAAATAAAATGTTGAAACAGAACCAATGGGTCCATTTGAACAGAACCGTCTGCTGAGACGTTTGGTCCGGTTCTGGTTCTGATGAATTAAAGTAGTGTGTAAGTGGGTCAGCAGGTGGTGCCGTCCTGCTGGCTGACCAGAACCAGAGAAACACAAAACCTAAAGAAATGATCCTCTGAGTCAGTCATGACTGATCAGCTGATCAAACATGTGATCAAACAGCTGATCAAACATGTGATCAAACAGCTGATCAAACAGCTGATCAAACAGCTGATCAAACATCTGATCAAACAGCTGATCAAACATCTGATCAAACATGTGATCAAACAGCTGATCAGGAAGCAGTAAGTCCTACTTTTAGAAACCTCTCTCAGTTCCCTGTGAGGTGTGTCCTCCATCACCTGACGATGCGTTCAGGTTCTGTTGGAAATACAGAAACTCTGTCAGGATGAAGTAATTGATCTTTTATTTACCATCCAACTGATTATTTGTTGTTTAAACTTCTTCTCTTTGGTTGCTTCAGTTTTCAGCCTAAAACTCTGGAATCTGTTGTGAACATTTATTTACAAACTGAATCAAAGTTCTGACCCGACTGGACCACCTGCAGGAAGCAGAACACCTGTGTGAAATGTTTGGACCTCTCTGATGTCAGGCAGAACTTCCAGTCTGAGTCCACGTGTGAGACACACACACACACACACACACACACACACACACACACACACACACACACACACACACACAC